TACCAGTGTCGTCTTGGTTTAGATGTTTTTGCTTTAGAAACTCTTTGGAGCTCACTGTGAACACTTCGAAACAGTCATTACTGAAATGTTTCTGAAAAGAAAAATAATCATGTTAAGGCAAGCTTGCAGTTGTAGGCAGTGGTGCCTGGAAAAGTGGGTTTACTCTCTACCCAATTCGCAAACATGGGCCAGTATAGGGATGTCACGAGAACCGATACTTTGGTACCAACCCGATACCAATATTCCGAAAACCTAAAGGTACTCGTTTTCCTACAGTACAGTAGAATTGCATCCTCTGTACCACAATTCTCCTGGACCTGACAGGCAGTATCTACGCACACACGTATTCTAGTATAAGGAGTACGGTCTAGACCTGCTCTATTTGAAAAGTGTCTTGAGATAACTTCTGTTATGAATTGGTGCTTTACAAATAAAATTGAATTGATATTGAATTGAATTGATTGGGTCATTTGTATTGCTATCGACTACGACATTTCTGGTATCTCTAGGCCAATAGTATTTGCAGATTGTCACTTCTGCTGCTTCACTTCAGGGAGTAAGATTATGAAAGTTAGTTATTATGAAATTAACATTAACCACAGATGAGGTCATCAATACTGGCCCACAGACGGTTGAGATAATTACATAAGTGTGACTTTTGAGTTAAGTATATTATAGTATCTACTCACCTTAACCTTGTTTAGTTTGTTGAATTCTTTTTCACTTCTTCCTTGGCTTGCATGTTTCTTTTAAATATGAGAGCACGAACTTTATCTGATGAACTGCAAGAACATATTTGTATTATGTCGCACGTCATACAGTATTTGAAGAACTATAACCTGAATTTTTTTTCAAAAACATTTTTTGCACCTCTTCTCAGAATAAAAGAAAGAAAGAACTATTTAATCTCATAATCATTATTGCCTCTGGGTATTCTCCAGGCTAAAAGTCACCAACTGGACTTTACTGGGGGACTTCAACGCTCACGTGGGAAACAACAGAGAAAACTGTAGTGGGAGATTGCTCATCCAGTTTACACGTGTTTTGTTTTGACTTTGAGAAGGCTTGCAACCATGTACCACAGGGTTTCCTGTAGGGGGTGCTGTGTGAGTATGGGGTACAGGGACATTATGGGAACTGTAGTTCCTAATCTTGGCGCAAGATCATCTACCAAACAGAAGTAAGATTTGTTTGAGGGAGTCCCTGCAGTTTCAGACTTTGAACTAACAAAAAGCACGTTACCATTACAACCATGAGACAATATTATATTTACATTTGCTTGTGTTTACTGCTGTTGAGCTATTGGCCACCACACTGTCTATTATATTATATTTAACTACCAGTATGTACTTTGGGGATTTTAAATCACTTACTGGTCATCTGAATCTTCAATAACATCAGACTTGGTGCAGATAAAGTGAATCTTCTGACATTGGCCACCATTTCCCATCAGGCTACAGGTCCTTTCCAGGATCTCCCAGGGTTCTGTCTCTGCTGTTGCTCGATTAATGTCAGTCACAATCCACACAGTAGAACAACTTCCAACAACCTGAAGGGGCATAATGAAGTAAATTATGAATAATTAATTGTCAGTTATTTGTAATAACATGATGTTACAGTTTCCAGATAGCACAATATTACACAATAATCAGCAGTGCGAGTGAATAAATTACCTCTTTCCACATTTCATCTCTGCTCTTGTTACGGTCCCCATTTCCAGGAAGGTCCACAAGTGTGACATGCTGGAGAAGATCATTACTAGGGAACCTGATAGTCACACACTTCACTAGTGGCCAGTACCACCTCTTTATGTCTTTACTTTCTCCATCTGTTTTCTCGCTTCTTGTGTATTTGACTAACTTTACAGAAAGCTCTTCAGCCTGTAATAAATTATAGAATAAAATTAAGGGAACACAAGACAATTTTATTCATATCGGCATTCAAACTTCAAACTTTACATATTGCATAAAATAATTAATTAAGAAACCCTATCATTGAAAGTAATAATAAAGGCAGCAAAAAGTCAGATAAATCATATTAATAAATAATAAATAGCAAAGCTGAAGTGAAGACTAAAGTTAAATTCTCCACCATTGTTAATTCAGGGAAAGTGACTGATCATTGAGCTCTTTTACAGCAAAGCCTTGAGTTCACATTGATATGGGCTAGAAGGATATACAACAACAACCACAAATAAAAAAAATAACTAGCTGACATGTCTGGCAAAAATGATGTACAGCAATAAAAACAATAAAATGATGAAAAAGTGAAACAACAACAACAAAAGTACTGCAACTGTAAAAACAATAAAATGTAGAAATGGTTATAAAAACTAGGCGATAATGAATAGTTAAGTTTTACGTTTGGAACTGTATTGCAAACATGATCAGATTTCGACAATGCCTTGGGTTATCTGCAAAAAGTATATTGACTATGTATATCATAGTAGCATAATGCTACTTCCCTGTGTGTTGTTTCCTGTATAATGCCAGTAGAATTTAGGATCTTAATGCGGTCCACATTTGGGCACAATGATGGAGGCAAAATCCTGATCGGAATTGGTTTTGGAAATTGGATTTATTTACTTTCTTATGAAGAGATGAAGATATATGGATCGTAGGTATTGAGGACACATGGATTAAGATATATGTCTGTATATATATACAATAACTTAAACTAAATCTACAACTTACTGATTCACATGTCAAAGTCTTCCTCCTGGAATGGAGAAATTCTGGGATTTCTTTGAAATACTTGTGATCCATGAGGTTTTCAGGTTTTTTGTTTTTCCATTCTTCTCCATACAGTGCTGACAGCTTTTCATCAGTGTCGTTATCCTCGAGGAAATTAAACAAGGACCACAACTCATCATTCCACACCTAAGAAAAAAGAAAGAATTACATTTAACTAAATTGAATAACATGGTTGTAATGTAACAGCAACTGTATGTTTATAGCTATTGTATACACTATTTTATACACTAGTTTCAAGTAAATATAAACACATGCAGCTCATTTTACCTCTTTTGTAATGAACTCAATGTCTGCCTCATACTTCTTCTGCATGTTTGCCTCCACTTTGATCATGACTGAGGTACATGCACTGATGCCTCCAGAGGGCAAGAGATTCTTCCGTCCAATGACAGCATTTATCAGAGAGCTTTTTCCAGCCCCAGTTTTACCAAAGACACCGACCATCTCCCTCTTGTCTGTCTCTAACTCACTGATTTTAGTCCTGTTGTAGAAGAATTTAAATATGTGTAAATTGATTAATTTGGAAAATATACAAACACTAAAACCATCATCTAGATTCTAAGGGAAGTTGTATATTAGTGATCTGTCTAATGCACAGAAACAGTAACACTTGATTTCTGGTGGGGTGCTGTTACTGATTTGCCTCTTGGCAAAGATGAGTCAGTACAGCAAATGTCTAGGCTTATGTGTGTCTTTATTTTGCCATCTCATACCAATCCTAAACCACTGTGTTTAATTTTCCAGATAAAAATTCCTGTATGCAAAGTTTCTGATATCAGGCCCCATCATGAGTCAAATCATGATAGCGTGTGCATTCAGTTAATAGACTAACTGGCTTGTGACAGGAGCTTGTACAGTTAACAGTGCACAGGTAAGAGATGTCCTCTTGTGTGCACAGGTAAGAGACGTCCTCTGGGAGATGTGGAGAATACCATAAACTGTATTTTTTGCCTTATGTGCATTGAAATCGTAGATTGGCTTGAAATATCTCAGGATGTATTTTTGTGAACCTGCACTTACACTAATCTAAGAGCAAAATTAAGACAACCAACAGACCACTGTAGTACTTACTTCAGGAAAGAATTGAGCTTTTTGTTGTCTTGTTTGGGTATTCTATCATCAACCAGTCTCATGATGTTTTTCACTTTATTCAGTATGATTTTTTCTGTGAGTGAATGCAAAGAAGTAGAGGTAAAAAAAATGACATTGCAAATTTCAAGCCTACAGTAGATTGCCATTGTTTAGATAGTAATATTCTGTATATACCTCTGTATGATCCAGGTATAGTGTCGTGTCGTGGTTTCTTAGTCTGTGGTCTGCTGGACTCGCCCTGAAGATCCAACTTTCGCTTTCCTTCTTGTTTTTTTTTAAATACAAAAAGAAGCCAAAAACAAAAGTATGTTGGACCATCCTCTCACAATATTAAAACATGGTCTCAGTATAGCTGTTTGAAAAATGAATGCCTTGAAAACATACATGAACTCTACATGTAATCAATAGGATACTGTGTATCTCACCTTTATCACTTGTGTAACTGGTGGACGGCAAATCCTGAGGATGAATATGAACATTTCACTCTCAAGAACTTACATTCACACAAGTTTTGTCCTCTAAAGGTTTTGAAAGGCTTGTAAAGATAAACATCTTAACATTAAACAATATTTGCATTTATATTATCATCCAATCAGGGATGACCCTGGAATGTAGAGTCCAGAAAGGGTATAACAAATGATCACTGGAACATATTTTTTCCACAGTCAACAACAATGTTACCCAATGAGACGATTCTTAAGTCAAAGGTGACTCAATCACATACATAGAGGTCTCATTCTTACCAGATCCAAATCAGCGGCTTCTTCAGGCTCCTGCCGACACTGCAGATAAAAGTAACACTCTTAAAGGTGGAAGGTCATGCACTGAAAATATACTCTGTATGATTGTAATAATGCTTTAGATGATACATAACTGCATGAAACTGTATTCAATTTACTTGAGCTGAAGAATTAACAGTTTCCTGGTTTGTTGTTGTGTTTTTTTCTTCCTAGTGACAATAGGAAATAGTTGCAAATCCATAATTAAACATTTAAAATTCTGGTAAATGCTATTATTGTCAATGAGTCTGTAGTCATCATCAAAACTTTTAAGAGATGTTCTCGCTGTTAATTATAAATGCACGTGTGTACATAGTAAGATTTATGAGTCCAAACACAGTATTCAGGTAAACTATCTTTACAATGAAGAACTTTACCTTTAACAACTTGAGTTTATTCTTAAATTTCGCCCTGTGTCCCACTCTGGGGATCAAGCTATCAATTTCTGGATCATCAAGAAGGTAAAGAATTTCCTCATCAATGCCTTCATCTGTAATTGAACAAAACAGAAAAATTGGTAGGTGACGACAATTTAAATAGGTGTAGGTTTGTTAGTTTTACTTTTTTAGTGCATTATGTGGTGTCTAAAGGGTTATAAGTTCAAATTATATTTTGTCAACATATGTAAGGTCAGTAGTTCATGAGGATGATATAATATGCTTCTTCGCTGGGATGTTTAGGGGCCCCCCTCGATGCGATTTATAGGACATTTTACTTTCCTTAAATGTTTAGGTTAGGGTTTTCTACAGTGCCAAATCATAGCAGACATTATCTCAGGACACTTTTCATATAGAGCAGGTCTAGACCCTACTCCTTATGAAATTGCATGGTTTTATGAGCTGAATGCATGTTGATTTGATTGCATTTTGTCACTCCCCTGTTGAATGAAAATGTTGACAAACAGATGTAACTCTCAAGATAATGGACTGTTAGCAAATATACAAGGTTTTTATTGTGAGTGCTTTTATACACTGAAACCCCGACAAAAACTGGCATGATGATGAACACTGATCTCTCCCATTTTCTAAAATTGTCTTTTAGGGATATGTCAGTATTGTACTGCAATGTTCAGCATGTTTTATGTCTGTATGAGTAGATGCTTCGAGATTTCAGTATTGGTAGGTCATTCCTAAAAGAAGCATGGGAATACTTTACCTTTAAATTTTTCAGTCAGCTCGGCGAGACCCCATTCAGTTAATTTCTTACATACAAAACCATCCATGATCAGCAGCTGCAAGGTAATTAAACATGTTTTAAACAGTTACAACAACCCTGCCCCACCCCCTCCCCGGTCTTTTGTACTTTAAGACGTGTTGTGAAATCAAAGCTGCATATGGCTTAACTTTATTTTATTGAGTTAAAGATCTTTTCATCCTACTCATAGTTTGAATACACTGGCAGATCGTGTGGCTGGTCTCTTTTAAACAACTTCTGAGAGCAGTCAATAAAATAAAAAAACTCCACTCCTCTCTAAACCACTTCCCCAAAATTATATAGCTCCACTCCTTTTCATCTAATTTCCTTTTTTACCCTCCAAACCATACCAAGAAGAACAAAGACAACCCGCTGTGAAAGTTAACATTGACTTTTTCACCTTTAAACTATGATTAATGTGTTACATTCTGTTTTAAGTTAACAGTTTGTGTGCATGCTCTATTCTAGAAAGTTTTCTATGTTACGAAAAAAAAAAAAAATTTCATATTAAAAATTAAATAAGGCCAGATTGTGGATGTGTTAATGATGTAAGTTAAATTATCATATTAATTTCTTTTTAGTAGTTTTGTTTGTTTGTATTGATTCAGATTTGTAACATTTTTTTAATATATTTTTTTGTATAGAAGAATTCATCCACATTCACCAAACACCTGTGCAAACCATAATCTCCCATAACTGAAATAAACTTTTTTTTAAATTTCTGGATCTTGTGTTTAAATGTGAAGACCACATAGGATGTTCAGTGAGCCAATGCCACCAATTAAATAGACTTTTCACCCTACTAAATGGTTTATCCTGATAAACATTTTAATTTCCACTAACAGACAAAGTAAATAGCATGTCAAAATGAACTCAGTGTCTCAGTGTTATAATCAGTGGAAATATAATGCATTGATGTGAAGTGTACTTACATTTTGTCTGTTCCTCTTTAATGCACAAACATGACTCCGCTGGTGCTTGATTCAACTTGATCTCTTTCTTTTATATTGTCGCTATTCTCCGCCCACAAAACAGGTTCAGCAATATAATTTAAAATGTGTCAGCGCTTGTGTTCAAAGTCCTCAGGGTTTTGTGTTCACTTACAGCATAGCAACATACACACCTGGGAACATACACACCTAGCAGTGTTTAAAAGGCAATGGTGGAATAAGTATTGAGATCCTTTACTTACATATAAGCATCAATACCACAATGTACAAAGTACTTTAATCTAACTGCATTCAAAATCCCACTTAGACAAAATTATAAAAGAATTATGTGCAAAATGTACTTAACGTATCAAAATAGAATAAGAAGTAAAATATTCCTCTCTGGCATTTGATGGAGTTGAAGTATAAAGTAACATAAAGAGGAAATAGTAACCTCAATGTACCTTAAGTACTGTACTTGAGTAAATGTACTTACTTACTTTCCACCACTGTTAAAAGGCTGGGACGGGATGGGAGGGTTCTTGTCATTGCTGCTGCACTGACACTTACTGACAATACAACCCTCCCACTCTTTACAAAAAATAAAAACAGTATTGTGGCATGTTCAAAAGGTTTAGGTATAACTGACTGCTGTGAAGCTGCTGTTGTAGTATTCATAATTACTAGAACCATTTGTGCTGTATCAATCAGTATTACTAATAAAATTAAAGCTGCAAGCAGCATTGGGTGGGACTTCGCCATCAACCTACGTCGGGGCCTGCAAGGCGGTTGCGGGGTGCGGCGCCATGTCAAGCCCCACTCCCAAGCCCTCATCGCCATAAGCTGAGGGAGACCGCTTTACATCGTCACGCGTTTCAGACACTGTGCTAAAGACTCTTCACTGCGAAACGTGGAAATTCAGCACCACGCCGTTTGACGCACAGTAAATATTTGATTAACGTTGGATTACCAACGTGTCTAGATTACAGTGATCGAATTTTAAGTCAATCTGATAAAATCTGTAGGAGGAGTTAGTTAAAATTGAAGCCCTGAAATGCTGGAAATGGCATCACAGTTAAACATTCGATTCAAAATGGCCAACTTTGAAAAATTCACGTAAATTGACCACAGAATTCAAAATGGCCAACCTTGACGGCACGCCACGGACACACCCTTCAACTTAAATAAAAGATTCGTAAGATGTCATCGTCAACATTTTAAAGTTCTCCTGGCCAAATTTCAGCTAGATGTGTTCAATCTGCTGGGAGAAATACATTAAAGTGTAATAAATTCCACCACTAGGTGGCGGTCTGACTATAAGTGAATACTGTCACATAGATCGATATTCAGATGGAGTTCAGGGAGGGACTCTCATTAGACAAGTGAAGTTTGGAGCCGAATGGACAATGTACACTCAAGTTATAGCAAACTTGTGTGTTCTGGTGGTACATCAAAATTTGACGCCACGCCACAAACACGCCCACTCACCACAGTCATCGCATATCATCAACAATGTGTTTTGCATTTCATAAGTAAATTTCAGGTGGATCTAATCATCCTGCATCCTGTTGCCACTAAGTGGCGCTCTCCCTATTACTGAATATTATTACATAGACGTGTTCAGGGCGGGACTCTTATCAAACATGTGAAGTTTCGTTGCAGTCGGATCATGTACGCAGAAGTTATGACAACTTTCTGTTTTCAAGGTGAAGGATCGAAATTGGACGCCGTGGGACGCCACGCCACGTCCACGCTGTTTGACACGCAATGTCATAAAGAGCACAACTTTTAATCGTGAATGTCTTTAGATGGCTGTGTCAAAGTGTGGAGTCGATCCAATAAATTCCCTGCATGCAATGCAACGGCGAAAATTGCCAGAAATGACCACAAAATCCAAAATGGCCGACTTCCTGTTGGGTGTGAGGTTTGGGTCCAGGAGGCTTTTCTGCTTCTTTTATCACGATACATGCGTACCGGTTTTCGAACGATTGAACTTTGTGCACATTTCCTTGATCTTTCGAGCATGTTGCGGCCGCCCACTCCGGAATAAATAATAATAATAATTCCTAGAGATACAAGAGGGACCTCACAGTTTTTGACACTGGCTCGGTCCCTAATAAAAATCAGTTGTTTGTTTCTTGTGCATACATGTTGGCACACATAATAAACACACTTTTCTTGCTGTTAACACCAGAGGCAGTAGAAGTTAATGTTGACTGCAAGTAGACCTGCAGTAACATCTCTCATATGTGTTTGGTAGAGGCACAAGCCAACCATCCACATTTACATTCACACCTGACATTACTTTTCACTCATACATTATACACTGTCCGAATCTCAAACACTCTCCTTGTTGTCACTGCCTTTTTGGTGGACGGGAAGCTTTAGTTTCATTTGCATGTTGAAATTGTTCCTATCGTATGTTCACATTATTTATAACTTACTGGTACACATATCTACAGCAGCTTACTCACCATTGTACACACGCAAAACAAAATCATGCAAATAGAATGCAAATCATTTAGACTGAAGAGGAACTAACTTTAAAGCAAACAAGGTCAGCCACTCTACTCTACTTCTCTACTCCACTACATATGTTTAACAGCTATTAGCTATTAGTTACTTTTCAAAATAAGATTTTACATTAAAATAAGCATTTGATGAATTTATAAAACACAAATATTAATTCATAATATTAAAGATTAAACCAAGGTATAAAAACTTTTTTTGCCGTGAGAACAAATTAAAAAAATGTGTCTATGAGTCTCTCAGCATCACTTTTATTGACCAGGTATGTTCACACATACAAGGAATTTGAATTTGCGGTTTAACATGGCTCTCAATATACAAACACAGACTGACTGCATAAATAAACCGGAAACAAGCTCAACAAAAGAGACATAAACTACTATGTACAGTTATACATATATAAAGAAACAAAAACAATAACATTTTCTAGACAGTAGACAATAGTGCAAAGAATGCTGAAATAAATATTCAATTGCAAGTAAACAGACTTTGAGCATTGAGTTTTTTGACCAACGCTCACAACAGTGGCTCTGGGATGAATTAGTGCTTATTATAAAAATCCTCATCAATTTTGAGGATTTGTTTCATACTATACGATGGATGGTGTATAACCTTAACAGTTACTTAAAAAAATGAATTCATTAATTCTTCATCCTGAGTCATAGTCGACGAGGTGCAGCTCCCAAATGGCATTTCCTGTTGTTTTTCTGGGTCAACTAAGACTCTTCTTCGCAACTAGCAGTTAAGACGACAGTCAGGGGGCATCCCTAGTTAATGTCTCATCAGTTAATAGGCATAAACCTTCAAGTTCAGATAGTTAACTAAAAATATGTGTTACAATAGGATACGGCTCATCTGCTGGCACCAGGAAAAGACACAACAAACTTAAGGTAAAAGAACAAAGACACATTGAGCAGTTGTGTATGTCTAAATGTTGATGGTAAGGCAAATTACACAGACTGTATAGTTTCAGATAGTGTTATGATAGTTGCTATAAAGAGCATCACTGCTGCAACTGCTTTAGACCTGCAGTGGCTCTAACATCTCTCGTATGTGTTTGGTAGAGGCACAAGCCAACCATTCAGAGGAGAGCTACATTTACATTTACACCTGACATTCTTGTTCACTTTTTACACTGGCCTAATGCCAAACACTCTCCTTGTTGTCACTGCCTTTTTGGTGGACGGGAAGCTTTAGTTTCATTTGCGTGTTGAAATGGTTCCTATCATGTTTTCACGATACAGGTACACATATATCTACAGCAGCTTACTCACCATTGCACACACGCAAAACAAAGTCATGCAAATAGAATGCAAATCATTTAGACTGACGAGGAACTAACTTTAAAGCATACAAGGTCAGCCACTCTACTCTACTTCTCTACTCCACTACATATGTTTAACAGCTATTAGCTATTAATTACTTTTCAAAATAAGATTTTACATTAAAATAAGCATTTGATGAGTTTATAAAACACAAATATTAATTCATAATATTAAAGATTAAACCAAGGTTTAAAAACTTTTTTTGCCG